TTTCTGGTACATACCATTTTTTTTTTGGTTTGCGGTCAAATTCTGGTAAATACAAATTATTCATAATCAGAGAGAGAATAAAACCAGAATTTAAATTTTAGTTTAACTCCGAAATAAAACAAATAACATTTGGTTAAATAATACGTATATTAGATTGACCCTCTGGTTCATGGGCCAAGTGGGACTGTGATCTCCCCCACTACTTGGTTAATATTCGGCCAACTTTAGAACTGGCCGAGTCGTCTCGTTTATTTAAGCTCCCAAGCTCACAATTGTTTTCCAATTTAAATTATTATGGCTGAAATAATTACATGATGAAACCCTACTTACTGGATAAGATTATATAATGGGGATATAATTTACATTAAAGTTACAGCTATCGTAATCCATTTCAAAAAGGGGATCACTTGATCTACCCACTATAATAATTTTTTTTTTTCAAACACTGGCTTTGCCACTTCTACGAGAATTAGACGAATCAGGTGTTTATAGTCTGGGTTTTAACTATTATGATACTTATTGGAGTGACTTATTTTTAATTAAGTCCAGATAACCCGTGTGGTGCTACTATTACTACTTGTAAAAGCGGATATAATGTTTTATTCCAAGGTGGGATACTTTAACCAACTAAAAAATTATATTCGCAAAGTTTAAGTTCTATATTCTATACGAGAACATGAAGAATATGACAGCTCAGTAAAAATTACTAGAAGGGTTTTTGCTCTATATAAAATGTAAACCAGTAGGCACGACCCCCAACAAATGTAATTTAGTAATCTAGTATTTCAATCGAAATATGTGGTCAGTGTAAACTAACATTCTTACTTATTTTGTAACCTATGTAAATTTATCTTGCTTTAATACTAATTTATTCACCATATTTTCACACCGGCCATGATTCAACTATCGATCGCTTGGTTCGGCATATAGGTGGTTGTGTGCGTGAAAAGGATGTACTTAGCCTACTTTACAAGATGCCGTGTAGAATTTGGCTAATGGAGTTAAAGAGAATGATCAACAATTGTTTGGTATATAGTATTATGTATGCGCGACGTGATATATAGAGCCTCTAATGCAATCATTGATCCAATAGATATTTCGTACTATTTTCATAAGCATATGAATATATGAACCTATCAGAATTTTATACTAAGCATAAAGGTTCATTTTAGTCTTAAATTGCATGTTTATGGATCAGATGTTCGGCCAATATAAGCACATATGATCCATAGACAGTATGCACAGTATGCATGCAGCGGACACTAAAACAATTAATTACGTCTTTTAATGTCTTTGCGCATTACAAATTTGGACTATTTTTCATGTATCAACTGCAGCATAAGTTTTTTTGTAATAACATCAAATTTTGCTACTTGGGTTTTCTTTTTTTGCGAAAGATAACCAAAAACTTGCTTTTCAAATTATTATTTGTATTATATAGAATTAAGAAACTGTTTTAAAATTAAAATGAATAAAGCCAACAAAAATATTAAAAAACGATTGCAGAAAGTAATATGACTATGAAGATCACACAAATTGAATATAATATTTTGTAACAACATATTGTCCCCTCTTTGGTAGTTCCAGATTACCCAATATATTATTTTTTCATAGATGGCTAAAAATAATTACTGATTTCTGTGTTAGTCTTAACTTTGTCAAAAAGACCCGATCAGGAGACAATAACATATAATTTAATCGTTATAACAATGTTATTTGTTGTGTCATGATCCTAAATCAATTTTTATTTAATACTCCATGTATGTTATTGATAGAAGAAAAAAATGAATTATATGATCATGTGCAAGTAAAGTAAATTCCACTTACAATAATGATACGGTGGATATGTAGATATAATTTTCCACATGCATATACTTACATAGTAGAGTAGGTGGTGATAATAGGGTAGGGCCAATGGCATGATCATACTCCTCAAAGAGCATGGAAACATCAAACATCTATAGAGTCTACATAGAGTTGGCCATGTGAAGATCCTAGGGGATGCCATGTTTTTATTCGAATCTAATCCACAAAAACATAATTAGTAAACAAATGAAACTCCAAACAATGAATTCTAATTCCAATTCTGTACTCAATTATTTGCCCAGAAAAGAATAGAGAAGAAAAATGCCGATCTTCAAATTGTGTTACTTCCATTTAAACTTTTTTATTTAAAATATATTTTGGCGCTTTGATTATTGTCCGGCAAAACGCCACTTTTTTTTTTGTGTTTGTTCTTTCTCTATTTTTTGTACGCAAACCATAAAATCTTTTTGTTATATTTTTCCAGCCAGTGACATTTTTTATTTTTGAATTCAGCCAATTGGTGGAATCTTTTTGTGTGGATTTCATTGGCATTTTCGCCCATTACGTACGTACGCCCACACCATTATCGATATATTCAAAAACGAACGAGTGAGGAAAAAACGCCAAAATGTAATTCTGCTCAATATGGGATTCTATATCTTGAAATCTGGCCTACCTGTCAAATTTGTTCTACAGCATTTACTTTTTACATGTAAATATACCAATTGGTATTTTTTATTTATAAAATAATTATGATTTGTAATTTCGTTTTATTTTGCCAAAAATATATCTAGATATATAAATTTGATGTGGGCTCTAAACTTATTCTAATTGTATTTAAATAAATAATATTAATTAGAGAAAAACTTGAAAAGACTTGATAAATAATAATAATTGTTAAAAGCTAATACTATACAAATTAACAATTTTTATTTGTAAAATAGATAAAATAAAATTTAGATAGAAAATAGGACAAATGGGACAAAAAGATACCTAAAGCAATGATCAAACAATGTCGAGAAACATTTAATCATGTGGTTAATAAGGGTATACAAAATTACAAATAGTCAAGATTAGTTGAAAAAACTTATCCAAAAGTTTATCGACATTAAGAAAGTTATTGACGTACTTAATTAAAAATAAAAGTCGTCGACCTTTCTACGGTGAATCCCAAAACGATATTCCAAAAACGAGGAGACATAAATGTGAGAAAGGCACTCATTTCAAATCGTATTAAAGTTTCAGAATCTTACAACGAATAGTACTTGTGAGTTATGAGTCATATACCTGTAAATGGATTCGTTGAAATTTATGATTAACTGTTTTTTCCATTTCTCTACGACGAAAAGAAAAATCAACAAATAATGGGAAATAATATTTGCTTTTAATAACGAGAAAAACAAAATAAAAACATGTATTTCAAGGAATACAACGTCATATGAAACCACATATGCGTTATACTTATATCTAATCTATCAAATCAAAAATATTAAGAAACTAAAAATATAAAATTCCTTTTCACTTGAAATCTAATAAAATATGTATTTCAAGAAACCCAAGAGTCAAGGCTGTTTTTAGCAGCCGCATGCGTGAACAAGATACCACTAAACACTAAACTGAAGTGGTCTCCTATTAAACCCATTTGAAAATAAAATATATGTATTACAAAAGTCTCTTCAATTCAATTCAGTATATAATAACAAAAGTCTCTTCAATTCAGAAAAATAATAATAAAAGTCTCCGCACATGTTGAAGAACCATAATCATGAAATTATGTTTCGTCACAACCCAAAACCTAGTTGACAACTGAATATATGTGTTCTTCTCTTCTTTTTCCTCTAGCGTCTCTTTCCATCGATCTTGTGTTTTTAGACGAATCTTTTAAAATAAAAATTATTATAAAATAATGTTCTTTTACCGTCTAAAGCCCTAGCCGATAACGTTTTTGGGGTGGTCTTCATGTTAATTTATATACCTTCAAACGGAAATTACAAACTAAAGCTATTCCTACTACTAAAAGATGAATTATCCTACGTGCTAAAATTAAAAAAGACAAGATAACTTGATTAATGTAAAAAAGACCCCTAGTTAATTAGTATTTTATAAGGACTTGTATTTCATCTTTACATGCACAAATGAAATTTTTCAATCTGGAACAAATTGGAAAGTTTGAGATAGAAAGTTTACGTACTTTTTAAATTTATTATATATTTTGAAATGAAAAATTCTGGTATATAATGATAAGGTGTAAGAATTGTTTTCTTCTCTATGAATAAGTCAAATCACAACTCAATCAAGAAACAAAGGAGATGCAGGAGAAAAAATTTACTTTATGAGAAAATAATTAATTAGTAATTTTTCACATTCGAAAATATCCAACGAAGTCAGGAAACATATATAATACGATAATTGATATAATTTTCGGCTTGCATTTTGATTTTGTTCATGTCCATAAAAATTAGAAAATGTCATAGTCAAAGTACCCAACTGCCCATCAGATTCCCCAAAGAGATCCAAACCCAGAAAAAGACTGCCTACAATAGTGTGAACATGTCTTGTGGCTGTTTCTAGGTAATTTTCTAACTAGGTCACTTATTAATACGTTCAAAAGGTACGTAGCCACTAAGCCACATGCATATCAAGACCCTTCTTGAAATTTATGTAAAGAAGAAATACAGTTTATAAGATTAGTCGTTGGTAAAGAAAGATCATACAAAAATATGAATTATAACTTTAAATATAACGTCGTATTTTTAATATATCGTAGCCGGTGATTATGAGCGAAGAAGCATATACAGTATATGCTAACTTTTTTTTTTTGGTAACGCATATATGCTAATAACATTTACGATTTTGTTTGTTTTAGGAAAGCAGCAGATTGGAGTGTACCTGATACCTAAAAGAACATCCTTGAGATATGGGCTTCCACTGGGCCGGAGGTTTAAAAAGATTGATAAATGATATAACTGGACTACCGACCACGTACACATGGCCCATCTGAACATAAAATCTGCAAAAGTCCCATCCAATAAAGCCCAGCCCAAAAGTCATTATTCCTTTTTTTGTTGAAGTAAATTTACCTTCTTCCTCGATGAATCTCGGAGGGTTATATATATATCACATATTGCTGCTCTCAACTCTTCCCGGCAAATAAACTGTCGCTGCTCTTTTCGTCTTTCTCAATGGCCACAGCTAATTTATTGTGTAAACGAACGCTGGAAGATGATTTAGAGACCAAACCGGTTCTGAAGAAACCTAAGGAAATATCCGAAGAGAAGGAGACAGCGAAAGAGCAGACTGAAGGAAGTCTCGAGTTGTCGGAGACGAAGTCTGATCAGGCTACTTTCATCTCAGTGAAGGTACAATTTCTGGAAAATATGAATATCGTACTGTTTTTTTAGATATATGGTACAAGTTTATGTTCAATCAAACATCTTCTTCCTTATTATGTAACAGGAGACAGCAGCGGAAGGAGTTGATGAAGCTCCCTATTTTGTTGAGGTACCTCTTTCTTATTTTCTTCGAAATATGTCAGGATCACAAGAAGCTCCGCAAAGTCGAAATATGAATCTACTTTTCGCTGTTATATTCAGGAACCAAAAAAGACGCTCTTTGTTGGCTATCTCTCTCCACAAACTGAATTATCAGATATGTAAGTAGCATCTTAGGTTTCCATTTGCGTTCTCGGAGCAAAGCTTTTCATGACTTTGATGTTTTTATCCACCATTTGTTGACAGCATCGACTTCTTCAAAGATGTTGGACAAGTTGTTCGTGTTCGACTTAAAGTAACTCGGAAGCGTATTCATAGGACCGTTGCCTTTGTTGAGTTTGCTTCTGCTGACGAAGCAAAGAAGGTGAGAGCAGTTTATAGAAATCAATGATGAAAATTATACAAGTAGATATTTGAAAGCATCACGGATTGCTGATTCAATCTTTTTATATTCTAGGCACTGGAAAAGACGAAGGGTGAATCTTTGCTCGATCGCCAGATTTTTCTTGATGTGGCTAACAAGGGAGGTGGATGCCTTCCACCCAAGGAAATTGATTCATATTTTGGAGATTTGTTTATGTAACACTGGTTGCTGCTAGGGTTCTGATGCCATTACAGAAGACTAACACTGTTTTTTTTTTTTTGTTAATTAGGTATTGCTTAGATCACACGGTTTGGTAAGGGTTTTTTATTTAACTATTTGCCTCTTGAGTTTGTTATCAACAGCACATTGTGTGAATTTTTTTGGTGTACATGGAGAGAAGACAAGGGTTTTTGATGTATTCCAGGTATGGAGACTACCCTCAACGAGAAAGTCTTTCGATAGAAGAAGATGATGAGACACCTCTCGACCCTGTTGAGGTACTTGTTCTTATTATCTTCAAAATGTGTCAGTCTCTGAAGAAACTATGCTTAGCGTTTAATAACACAACTGTTCAATTCAGGCAGTACTCTTTATTGCCAATCTCTCTCCCCAAACAACTAGTATATCACATATGTAAGGCACTACTCCTTGAATTTCCATTTTCGTTCTTGGAGCAAGTTTTTTTTCATGACTGATATTTTATCCTCCAATTTTGCAGCATCAAATTCTTCAAAGATGTTGGAAAAGTTGTTAGTGTTCGACTTATTGTAGACCAGGAGGGTAAGCGTTTGGGCTATGGCTTTGTTGAGTTTGCTTCTGCTCACGAAGCAAAGTGGGTGAGTTGTTTTTGTAGTAATGATGCAATAAAATATTAAACGAATTTGAAAAGTAGATGACTTATGATAAAAATTTATACAAGTAGTTATTTGAAACTATGATAGCTGATTAAATATTTTATACTGTAGGCACTGAAAAATAAGAATGGTGAATATTTGCACGATCATAAGATTTTGTTGATGAAAGGAAAAGATAAAACTCCCGACTCTGCTGAGGTACCTCTTCTTATTATCTTCAAAATATGAGAAACGCTTAGCGTTTAATATCAGAGCTGTTGCCACGATGTCGAAAGATGAATCTTTTTGCTGTTATGCAATTTAAATCCTTTTTCTCCTTAAATTCAGAGATTTGCCGTAAGAGAAAAGACGCTCTATGTTGGCAATCTCTCTTACAAAACTAAAATATCAGATATGTAAGTATAGCACCTTTACTTTCCCTCTTTCGTTCTTGGAGCAAGTTTCTTCTTATGACTGAAATTTTTAATCCTCCATTTTGACAGCATCAATTTCTTCAAAGATGTTGGAGAAGTTGTTCATGTTCGACTTATGGTTCACCACAAGGTCAGGCACGTGGATTTTGGCTTTGTTGAGTTTGCTTCTGCGGAAGAAGCAAAGAAGGTGAGAGCAGTTTATAGTAATGATGAAAAGTATTTAAGTAGTCATTTGAAAAGTAGTGTATACTTATGATGAAAGATATAGACTAAGTTATTTGAAAGTACGATTCTGATTAAATCTTTTTGCACTGTAGGCACTGGAAAAGAAGAACGGTGAATATCTGCACAATCGCGATGTTGTTCTTGATGTTGTTAAGACATCTCCATACCCTCTACGATCCAAGTACATTGATTTTCCATGTTATGGAGATTTGTTTCCATCGTTACTGGTTGTCACTTATTACAGAAGACTAACGATATTATTTTTTGTTAATTAGGTTTTGCATAGATCACAAGGTTTGGTAAGGGATTCAACTATTTTCCTTTTGAGTTTGTTGTTATATGCATGGAGAGATGACAAGGGTTTTGATATATTTCAGGTACCAAGACAACCCTCAACGAGAAAGCCTTTTGGTAGAAGACGATGCAGCAGTGGAAACTCCCGATTTTCTTGAGGTACATCTTCTGATTATCATCAAAATATGTCAGGCTCTGAAGAAACGCTTAGCGTTAAAAAAAAACACAACTGTTGCCACAAAGTCGAAAGATTACTTATTCTAGGGATGAATCTACTTTTTGTTTCAAGTGTCATGCTTAACACTCTTGGCTGTTAAATTCAGGAAGTTGCCGTCAGAAAAAAGACGGTCTTTGTTGCCAATATCTATTTGAAAAAAGACAATATTGGTGTTGCATCACATTTGTAACTTGTAAGTAGCAACTTTAATTTGCTCTTTCGTTCTTGGAGCAAGTTTTTTCATGACTGATAATTTTATCCTCCGATTTTATAGCATCAATTTCTTCAAAGGTGTTGGAGAAGTTGTTGGTGTTCGACTTATTGTAGACGACGAGGGTGAGCATGTAGGCTGTGGCTTTGTTGAGTTTGCTTCTGCAGACGAAGCAATGATGGTGAGAGGAGTTTACAGTAATGATGCTAAGTATTTTAGTATTCATTTGAAAAGTATTGTATACTTATATAAGCAGTTATTTGAAATTAGGTTTGCTAGATTAAATCTTTTTTATATACTGTAGGCAGTGCATAAGAAGAATAATAGGTGGATTTATGTTAACATGGCTGAGATAGCTTCTCCATACCCTTTCCGACCCAAGTAAATTGATTTTCCATATAAAGATTTGTTTTTCTCTAACTTATTGCTATAGTTTTGATGTCATGAAAGAAGAATATTAACGCCTATTATCTTTTGTTAATTAGGTATAACTTACACAAGCTTGCAAAGAAGCTTTGGTAAGTGATTTAACTAGTTTACCTTTATAGTTTTGTTATCAAGAGCACATTTTTTGGGTGAAGTTTCTGGTATACATATGACAATGGGGTTTTGATATATTTCAGGTACGAAGACAGCCTTCGACGAGAAGGCTTTGGTTTGGAGAACACACCGGATCTGGAGAAACAGCAGGTGGTCTTCTGCAGTAAGAAGATTACCTTCTCCGACGAGGACTGATAGAAAGAAAGATGAAGCTATTTAGTGTTTTGAACTTGTGATACAGAATCTTTTATAACTTTTTATTACCAGAAAAATATTTCGCTGTGATGTAAGATTTCTTTAATCTCTCAATACAGTGCTCTGTTTTTCTTAATATACAATACCTTCAGACTCTGCCTTGATCTTCAAGGCAACTTGACGGCTAAATCAAAACACTCTGCCACTTTTGCAAAATCTTCCTCAATGAATCCTCTGGATGTGGGAGCTGGTGTTCCTGTAACCATACCCATAATCACATGAACATATCAGAATCTTTTTTTTTTCTTGTGATCATTTAGGTCTCTATGATCACTACAGCTACCATAGAATTGACCTCATTTTTGTTCACAAGTAGTAAATGTCTTTCTCCAACGCATAACTTGTTTCAGTGTTCCTTTTAGAGCCTTACCCATACGGATGCCACCTGGAACCATTGCGGAAACATCTCCAGGAACAGCATTCTTCTTTGCTGCAATATGTACTGATTCTAATACTTTTTCCACTCTTGATCCATCTATTCCCTGCAAAATTCCCATTCCAATATCATACATTAATGAATCATACCATATGCACACAGTGCAAACACACACACACATTTCAACTTGATTTGCTACATATGGTTTGCTTCTTCTAACGAAGCAAAGAAGGTGAGAATAGTTTATAGTAATGATGCTAAGTGTTTTAGTTGTCATTTGATTAGTGGTGTATACTAAATTATGATATCTGAAAGTAGGATTGCTGATTAAATCCTTTATATTGTAGGCAGTGCAAGAGAAGAACGGTGCTGCGTTTTATGTAAACGTGCCCGAGAGAGCTCCATCTCCAATTCCAATAATTAAAATGATTTTCCAACTTATTGCTATAGTTATGATGTCTTAACAGAAGATTAACGCTATTCATTAGGTGATATCTTATATGTGTGTCTCGCGTTAGATATGTCCACGAAATTTAGACGGGAATATAATTCACTAAAGTGGTGGCTATATGTCTACTACATTAATTCGTCATTGCTTTAGAGCTATATAATAAAAGACAATATAATTGGAAGATGTATCGCAAAAATAAATACTTTTTTTTTTCATCACAGAGGAATAATTTTCTCTTTTTTATCAGAAGTGAGGAATAGTATAGAGGTAAGAAGAATAAGGTTGTACCAAAATATAGGAATCTACTTTCATAAAACGTATAGCTTTAAACAAAAGGAATGTGTTGTCTGCCATTTAGTTAGATTAATATATGCGTCTGTTATTTTATAACGAATACTCATCTATCGCATATTAGCCACACATAAACCATATAATATATAACCTTGTGGAAACTTTATGTGATATTGTAATACAATCTACATTACACTCACACGACCAATTTCAATTTCCTATCCAAGATTCTTCCCTAATCCCCTACACATAGTCAATTATTATTTCTTACATCTACCTTATTTTATTTAACTTAAATTGTTGTTGAATGATATAATTAGGAGGCATGAACATCTTAATTTTTGTTTGATTGATTAGAGAATTATATTTTATAAGTACATGTGTGTAAGTAAAATTATGGAACTTTAGCCCCTTCGAATTGGCCACGAGGCATCAAGAGTTCTCTGGTTATGACGTACGAGACACTAACAAAATAATTTTATGTTGAATTCGGAAATTAGACACATGCTTGGCGAATTTTTTTAAATAACCCTATTTACTTTGGTCGACAAGCCGAAATATAAACACAAGTGCCTGTAAAGCCAAAAAATAACATATTACTTAAGTGTTAGTGATGTTTTAAGAAACATATTGATCGTGTCGTATTATCGGACCTGTCACTATCTTCTTCTGGGTTTATGGGTAGCCGTACGTGCATTATTTGTCTTTCAAGACTTTATTAACATACTCCTATAAAATAAGAAATTTTTCAATGGATTAACTTCAAATTTAGTTGGTGTTGTCTGTTGTCTGTGATGATGACTAATGACTTACGAGGCATGTTTTGAGCGTCAAATCGCACTGTTTAAAGGTTTTGTTCAAATTCTGAGGCAAGATATATTTCAAAGATTTCGGTTAGACGAGAAAAATAAAAATAAAAAATTGAGATCCTCAATTAATATATATTTAAAATATTTTATTTTATGATTTTATAATTAAAAGAATTGTGCAAACAAATGATTTGACATTTTAAAAAAAAAGCTATATACAATGTATTGAATTCACGATTAATAGAATATATTCTCAACCAATTATTTAATTTAGTTTATCAATTACACTTGATTGTCTTCATATCAATATTTTAATATTTTTAATAATAAAAAAACAATAATACTTGAAAGTAACTACAATAACTGTTAGGACCGGCCCATAGGACAAGCAGGTGAAGCAAAGGCTTAGGACAGCAAAAATATTTAGGGCATCTATTTTTAATATTTTCCTAATTAGGGTTATGTATGATTTTAAGTCTTTTGTAAATAAATTTATGTTTTAACTTTAATCTTTTACAGGTAAGCAACTCTTTTAAATTACCTAGCTTATTTGATTTCCTTTTTTTCTACTACTTCTTCTTTTAACAACAATATTTTAATATCATAATTATTCACTTTTGTTTTTGGTTCATATGTGAGTTATTTTTTCAGTTTTTTTTTATTTTTAATTTTCTGTAGAAACTAAAAAAAAAAAGGAAAACTTTGAATCTATTTTTAAATTGGTAATTAGAATTTGGTAATGCTTGTATAGTTGAAAAACTTGATTATGTGAGTTTAATGAATGATTTTGCAGATAAAAATATAAAAAGCTATTTTTCAATAATTAATTATTTTATTGTTATTTATTTTCTTATAAACTATTTATAAATTTTCAGTACTGATTTGAAATTGGATTTTTTTTAATAGAATTTTCACTATAGTTTTAAAAAAATTAAATAGAATATATAAAAAATATTTTTTTAGATTTGCGTAGGACATCAATAATTGTTGGACCGGCACTGGTAGCTGTAGATTTGTAGTCGAGTGGTTTGAGTTAGAGTGATGAAGTATCTGCTATATGGGTCGATCCCATGAGCTGAATCTTCTACTTAAGTGCTCGAGTGGTTTGAGTTAGAGTGATGAAGTATCTGCTATATGGGTCGATCCCATGAGCTGAATCTTCTACTTAAGTGCTCGAGTGGTTTGAGTTAGTCAGTATAGAAGTTTTAAGTGGCAAATAAACCCTTTTTTTGCATTCTTCATATATTTATCTGAGTTTTCGCCTCATAATTTATCATAAGATCAAAGAAAAAGCAATAATACTTGAATGGTACATGCAAGTTTATCTCTTAGGAATTGCAACACTTTTTTTATCCTGATAATTGAGGATGTTGAATCGAAATCTAAACGTATATAAATTTTAGTGTTTTTATCATTTAAAAAATTTATAATGGCCAAAAAGGGCTAAGTCACCAACAATTTTTATAAACGAAAAGCTTTTTTTTAAAGCAATATTAATTTCTTCACCTTCATACCATGTTTTGATACAATATGGAAAAATACTAAATCAAATATCTTCATTATGTTGATTTATTATAAGAATCTGGCCTTCATCATTTCACAAAATCAGAGGATTCTCATTCAAGTCTAAAGAGAAATTGGTGCCAAGAAGACTTTTATTTGATTTAGCTTATTTTTCTCCTTTTGTTTAAATATAAATAATTTCATTTAAGTGTATTTATTTGTAAAGATCATTTGTAAGAGCTATAAAAGCTCATTGTTCTCATTGTAAAAAAATATAGAAATTTTTAGAAAATGAAAGAGAATTCTCTCTAAAAAGCTAAGGCTTTGTTAATTTGTTCATTAGAGATTGTGTGGAATCACTTCTCTTATGTTCTTGCGAGTTTTTGAGTGTTTTGTGGAATCAGACATTTGAGTTTTCGTGTTGTTTCTTACTGTCCATGCGAGGATGAGCCCTTGGAAGTGTAGAATCTCCTAAGCTCTTGTGAGGATTAGCCCTTGAGCTGAGAAGAATCTAATCTTTGGAGTTTGTGGTCATCAAGCTCAACCTGACTTTCAACCATTCAAGTCATCCTTCCATCCCCTTAAGCTAGAAACAAAGATTCAAAGAAGCATTACTTGAACCACATTTCAAGTATTGTATCATTGATATCAGAGCTAAAAGCTCATATCCTCTATTTTTTTATTTTTTGTTTTGTTTTTGTTTCATGTTTTATCAAGATTCCCACTAAAAAGAACAAAAAAAAGTTTTGGTTGTTTTTATTCTTTAATTTTTATAAACTTAAAAAAAAAACTCAAAAATAGTTTTATGTTTTTGTTCTTTGATTCATGATCTTTTTTATTTAAAAAAAAACCAAAAAAAAAATCAGTGTTTTCCCTTAAAATGGAATTTTATTTCTTTCATTAAAAAACAAAAAACTCTGTTTCTATTTATGTTTTTGTTTATTCCAATTTTTTTGTTTGAAAAAAATTATAAAATGAAAAAAATTTTTATTTATTTTATAAGTAATATTTGCTAAAAAAAATTAAAAAAAAAAATCAGTTTTGAGGACAAAACTATTTGAAGAAGGAGAGAATGATACAATATGGAAAAATACTAAATCAAATATCTTCATATATGTTGATTTATTATAAGAATCTGACATTCATCATTTCACAAAATCAGAGGATTTTCATTCAAGTCTAAAGAGAAATTGGTGCCAAGAAGACTTTTATTTGATTTAGCTTATTTTTCTCTTTTTGTTTAAATGTAAATAATTTCATTTAAATGTATTTATTTGTAAAGATCCTTTGTAAGAGCTATAAAAGCTCATTGTTCTCGTTGTAAAAAAATATAAAATTTTTTGGAAAATGAAAGAGAATTCTCTCTAAAAAGCTAAGGCTTTGTTACTTTTTTCATTAGAGATTGTGTGGAATCACTTCTCTTATGTTCTTGCGAGTTCTTGAGTGTTTTGTGGAATCAGACATTTGAGTTTTCGTGTTGTTTCTTACTGTCCATGCGAGGATGAGTCCTTGGAAGTTAGAAGCATAAATTGTTGTCTGTGGAATCAGTCAACCATTTATCTATTCCATCCACTGATCAACCTGAAAGAGACCTTAGTCCAGCAGGATTGATCCCGCAACCATCCACTTCGATCATCTCTTGAGTAAGTAGAAAAAGACTTCAGTCCAGCTGCTTGCTTCAACCTATTCACCCAACCATTTATAAGATCATAGTTAATCAACTATTTTCTCCTAAACTAATTAACCTTTGCAATACACATTTTATTTTTGATAATTTTAATTGTTGCTGATAAATAAACCAGTACAACAACCATACACTATATTTGATGAGCATGAGACTCTGAGGATCGGTTCTAGGCATATGGAAGATGTATTTTTGCACATAATTTAGGAACAGCCAACAAAAACATTAATACTTTAAGGTTTCAAATATTTTTAAAATGATTGACATATGATGAAACCCTGTATTCACATAGTTTTATTGTTAATCATTATTGGACTAGTTCTAAGATTTTAAGATTGAATGAATATGATCGCTAAACACTTGAACGAGAGATTCTACAAATTGATGATCTTAGTCATTCACATTCTGAGAGAATGGAGTTTTATACACTTCTCTTTCTATTCCGTTTGCATAAAATAAAATAAAAATCTTTCTATTCTGTATCCATATAGACTTTATAGCTATTGCTACATTTGAAAATAAGCTATTCATATCATGTCTATATAAAACATTCTCTCTGTTTTTGTTTATAAGATGTCTTAAAATCTTTTTTGTTTAAAACTAAATAATATTTTTAGAAAAAAATGCAAAAAATAATTGTTTACTTATCTAAATTCTATATATTACTTTTTTATTAATTGAATTATTTGGGAATTGATGTTCTATTTAAGAAAGAAATATTTT